AAAACAAAATATGTAAAAAAAAAAAAAGGGGGGGGGGCTGGAGAGATGGCTCAGCAGTTAAAGAGCACTGGCTGCTCTTCAGAAGAGCCAGGTTCAATTCCCAGCACCCACATGGCAGCTCACAGCTGTCTGTAACTCCAGTTCCAGGGGGTCCAACTCCCTCACACAGACAGACAGACATGCAGGCAGAATACCAATGCATATAAAATGAAAATAAGTAAATCATTAAAAATAAAAACCTTAAGAAAAAAGAATTTTAGAAACAGCCAATACTGCTCTAGGGAAAAAGTATAATGCTGGGCTGGTGGGATGCTCAGCGGGAAACAGCATTTCCTGCCAACCCTAAATACCTAAACTCTATTGACAGGTCCCACACGGTGGAAGGAGAGCACACCCCTCTTACCGCCACAGGTTAAGCATGCATGTGTACACATACCCATACCCTCAAAATAAATAAGTGATGAATGCAATAAAAAGTTTTCAGATATAATGTTACATCTATGGGTCTGCTTGACAGACACATTTTAAAACTAATTTATAAGTCAGTTTTTCCACACAGAACAGACCCACAGACTCCAAAATTCATCAACAGAAAGCAGTTTCCAGAGTAGCGTTGGAAACAGAAAGTCTGTTTAGTCTATTATGTACAAAAGCCATGGTTATAGTCCAACTATCTTAACTATCAGAGTTTCAATGAGGAAAGCCAAGTTAAAATTCTAAACTGCAACAATCAGAAGCATTTCCCAGCCCAGTATGTTAGTATGTGGTAGCAATCTCAACACTTGGGAGGCTAAGGTAAGAGGACTGTGAGTTCAAGGACACCCTGGGTTAGTGATACAACCTGTTACCAAATCAAAACACAGACAACAAGACAGGCCTGGCAGCACTCAGGTGGACAGGAGGACTCCTGCAAATTGGACAAAGATCACTCTACATAGCGAGTTCCAGGACAACCAGGGATATATATTGAGACCCTATCTCAAAAACAAAGCAAACAAAAACAATGTAGTTAATAACACATGCCCCAGTGATTCGCTAAGTTCCTGGTCTCAGTTCTCTAACTGTCCTGACTGGGGAACAAAGGTGTTTGTCCTCCATCATTAGAGACAAAACCATTTGGGTCTATCTGTCTTCTCAGACCTCCGAGGTGTGACTTGAAGAACCCAATGATACAGGTAACAAGAGAGGTAAGGCTAAACCGAGCAGTGGTGACGCACACCTTAAATCCCAGCACTCGGGAGGCAGAGGCAGGCAGATCTCGGAGTTCTAGGCCAGCATGGTCTACAGAGCGAGTTCCAGCACAGCCAGGGCTACACAGAGAAACCCTGTTTCGAAAAACAAACGAACAAAAACCCCCAAAAGCACAGCCCATGGCCACACTTAGTATTCTAAGCGCTTGTGTTGGTGCAGTATTAGGGACTGAGCGTTAAGTGCATCCCCACTTAAATGCGTCTCCAGCCTCTCACTGAGTACTTTATTTGGAAGTTAGCTTCCAATTGGAAGAAAATTAAGGACAAAAATATCCAATACAGACAAATCAGCTTGACTTTTTCTTTTGTGCATGCTGGGATTGGACCTGAGGCCTCACCCCCCTCAACCCTGACGTTAGCACTGAGCCCCCCCTTTTCTACCCCTGCTCCGGGCACTTTTAACCTACTTGAAATGAAAGCATCAGAACTTGGCAGGCAGCAAACTTTTTACAAGAGCATACCAACAGAAGGAGGACAAAGGTTATCACTGCTGCAATTCAGGCAACTTGAGGGTCCTCACTGACCTCTGCAATCCCTTTTCCCATAGGATGGTACTCTACCTCAATGTCCTGGAGACTGAACTCCTTCTGGTCTGTGAAGTTTGCAGCCCCAGCACTGAGTTCCATGAGCATCTTGGCAATCTCGGGCTTTATGGCTGAGGTCAATCGGCTGGCGGCTTCCATCACATGCTCCTGCACGTCTTTGAGCTGCATGGCGGCCTTCGAGTAGTGTGAGTTCCTGAACACGGTGCTGAAGAGGTCTGTGAGGAACGTGCTGGCACGGCAGAAGACGTTGAGGGCATCCAGGTACTTGGAGATGCCCTGCTGGATGTCAGCGATGGGGGTGGAGTGGGGCGCGGCGTGGTGGC